TCCATGATGCAGGGCAGCAATGGGATGTCCAGGAAAAGTCCCAATGAGGGCCCAGTGTCAATGGGAGAGCACAAGTTTTGTAGGATGCCAGTGAATAAACACTTAACTTGGAGCAAGGAGACTATTGTCTCCACAAATGTTGATTAAGCATCCTTTAAGATTTATTTCATGTTCTTATGGGATTCATAGTGAGAGTGGAGATGGGTCTGAGAAATGCTTCTGAAGTGGACATGACATTTGAATAAGCATCATTGATGTGTAGCAACCATGGTGATAAAGCAGAGGAGGAATATCCTCGGAAAAGAATGCACATATCTGCAAACACGGGATACAGACAGGCTGTCATGGTTGCCCTTTGGTTCCAGGACATACTTTCTTTTGGTCCTACTCATGGGTGGCTCCCCCTAAGTCAGCTCCTGTTCCTTTCTTCAGTGCAGAAGTGTTTCTTTGTTCTCTTCAAATCTCACCCAGCCTCAATATATTAAATATCATCTGTATACTGGTAACCTGAGAGGAATCTTGTTACCGTTACACATGTAGAGCTACTTCACTTAGGAAGATGAAGATGTTTAATGGACCCATTGAGTTTGCAATGCCAAGGAATAACGCTTGTTTTTTTTTTTTCCTCTACCCAGCTTATTTTATACTTTCCTCCACATTATTCTTGGGAGAATAGGCCACATAGCTCTCACTCCATATTAAACTGTCAGAAAATTTTATTAGGTCTATGTTATTCATAATCTCTTCACTCACTCCTGTCATCTCTAATCCCCAAGACAAGTCATCATGCTTTTGTTTGAATGTAGTATACCTTTTTCTTTCTTTCATTGATTTTTTTTGGTTTTTCAAGACAGGTTTCTCTGTGTAGCTCTGTAGACCAGGCTGGCCTTGAACTCACAGAGATCCACCTGCCTCTGCCTCCCAAGTGCTGGGATTAAAGGCATGCACCACCACTGCCTGGCTGTGTCCTCTTTTCTAACTCTGCTTCATTCCTTCATCCTTACTATTTGTTGTCAATCCAACATCCCAAGGGATCCTTTAAAAACTAAGTTGCATCATGTCATAGCCCTGCTCAAAATATCCAACACTTCTTAAGTAAACAAAAAACTTAACATAGAATTGTCATATGACTGAGTGATCCTACTTTGGAGAACTACCCAAAGAAGTAACAGTGGGGGCAGTAGGTACAATATACAAGTAACCCCTATTTCTACCAACAGTTGAGTGGATTTAAAAATGCAACATATACATACAATGGAATACTTTTGAGTCATAAAAGTAGGGAAAATTTCCCTGAAATTTTCATTTTTCTGTACAGCTGAATAAAATTCCACTCTAAGATAATTTTTATTATCCATTCTCCTGTTGATAGATGTATAGTCTTGTCCTATTCCCTTGCAAGTATTCCTATTGTAGGATATGGAGTCTTTGGGCATTTGCTTGGGAGAGGTATAACTAGGTCACATGGCAAGAAAATGGATGGATTTGAAAAATACATTAAGAAAAGTGGCTTAATCTCAGAAAGACAGAACCCACGTGTTCTGAACTCATGTGTTTCCCATCCTGTAATGTATACATGTATATACACAAGTATATGTAAAATCTGCAAAACTAGAAATGATACCAAGAGGATCTAAGAACAAGTAATGAGGAAGAATGGCAGGTGGACAAAAGGACACATGAGGCACAAAAGAGGAAAAGTGACAAGGTGTTACAGAGGAAGCAGGGGTGGGGGGAGCTGAGAGAGGAGGAGAATCTACTGAAACACACTGTGCTTGAAAAGGCCATAGTGATACCTAGTACTTTGTATGCTAATTAAAAGTAAAAAAGTAAATGTGAGGAAAATTTAATAGAAAATGAGTGAACCCTGATGGCATTATCCTGCGTAAAAGGAGACAAATTTCAAAATCATGTACTGCTCACATGAGATGTCTGAAGTCATCAGATTCATAGAGACAGAAAGCAGAATAGAGGGTTCCGGGAAGGTAAGGGTGGGGGGTGGTGAGAGGCTATTATATAATGGGTCTAGAGTTTCTGTTTGAGAAGATTAAAAGTTAGTTTTGTAGAGGGATGGTGGTGATGGGTGCACAAAAATATGAGCATAAATAATGATATTAGATGATACGCTTAAAATAGTAAAAATTTCCCAGAAGAAAAGATCTTCAGTGTTTTATTTTACCCCATGAATAAATGACAAGTGTTTGAGAACATGAATAGTTTTACCATGACTTAAAGATGGTATAACACATACATGTTTCAAACTGTGACACACTGTTCCATAACTATGAACAGTTTTATATATCTACTAGAAAAATTTTAAGAAAATGATAAAAATATGCATTGTATATTTTTATGTAATTTTAAAGATACCTAACATTTTTTTAGATTCCTCAGAGTAAAGCCTTCAAGGCCTACCTGACCTATCCCCTGGTTGCCTTCTGACCTCCATTTCCACATCTTCTCCTTTTACCCCCCCCACCTTTGCTCACTCACCCACATTGGTCTTGGACTGTGGTGATATTTTGTTTATGATTTAACAAACAAAGCTTGCCTGAGGATCAGAGTGCAAAGCTAGCCACACTAGTTAGCCATAGAGGCCAGGCAGTGTTGGCACATGCCTTTAAACCCAGCACTCGGGAGGCAGAGGCAGATGAGTTTCTCTTAGTTCAAAGCCAACCTGAGCTACACAAAATTGATTCAGTCTAAAAGAGAAACAGCTCACACAAAGGTGATCTCAGCACTTGGGATCCCACACCTTTAATCCCAGCACTAGAGGGGAACATAAGGCAGGGTGGTGGGGGAAGACAGGAGATGACGAGAGTCTGAGGTTTAGTGGATGGTCCCTTCAGTCTGAGCACTGGTAGAGATGAGAGCTCTCTAGTGGTTGGCTGCTTTGCTTCTCTGATCTTCAGCTTTAATCCCAATATCTGTCTCTGGGTTTTTATTATCCATGCTACATTGGACCTTCCAGAAAAACTGTCCCAATACCTTCCACTGGCCACAAAACCCAATCCATAGCTGCACTGGGAATGTTCTACCATCTTGGGGGCCCCCGTGGTTCCACTGGTGAAGTAGATGGCCAGCGAATCTTGACTCTTGGTTCTCACACAGTTGTGCTCTGCAGAAGCCTCTCTGGAAAATGCAAGAATGCCAGGTGACACAGATAATATAAATACACCAAGCAGTACCAAACTATAACAATGATAGGACTGCCATTTCAACATGTTGTGCATGAGGTGCTGTGTGGAGGGTTATACTACGTGCATACACATTAAGAGAAAGATACTGTCTCTACAACAGTTTTGTAGCCAAGAAAATTGAGGCTCAAAACACCCAAATGACTCATTTGAAAGATCCACAAAGTTGAGTAAAAATAGTTCAGTTAGTACAGTGTAAAGGGGCAGACATGAGTTTAGATCCTTAGCTCCCATAAAAGCTGCTTGCATCTGTAATTTCAATCTTGGAGATGCATAGGCAGAAGATCTCTGGAGATCACTGGGCAGCCATTCTACCTAGCTGGTGAGTTCCAGCTTCCATAAGAGACCCTGTCTCAAAACATAAGGTGGTGGAGAATGATAGAGGAAAATACCTGATGTTAACTCTGTACTGCACATACATACATACATACATACATACATACATACATACATACATACATACATACACCCACCCCTATATGAACAAGCACACACACACACACACACACAAACACACACACCTACATTTTTTGAGTGTGGCTGAGGAGTTCTATATGAACAAGCACACACGCACACACACAAACACACACACCTACATTTTTTGAGTGTGGCTGAGGAGTTTGTGGTAGAACACATACATTCTCATGTGTGTAATTCTGTTCATTTATGAATAGTCCTATCTCTCACTCAATTCTCAATGTAGAGATAATTTTCTTAATGTTTTCTCAAAAATTAGGGGTTTGAGATTAGGTAATTTCCCAAATTCTGTGATTTGAAGGCTCAGATAGCTTATGGTTCTCAGCCCTGGCTGTGTCTTAAGATCTCTGAGTTAATTTTTAAAAGAAATTCCATTATTTGTGCTCCACCCTGGGTAAAATGGACTCAGAACTTTGATTCTTCCTAAAGGTTGGGCAATTTTAATGACAACTGAAATTAAAAGGATATATCTAGGTTAACCTGGCAACTCTCCCAATGACATGGGCTGAGACCCTGGTTCAGCTACATCTGGCTAAGTAGGCCAGATGCCAGATTGCAAAATTATTATGTAAAACACTCAGGTCCATCTGGTCATTGAGGTGGACACTCCAGACTCAAAAGTCCAGCACTCAGAGGCCTGTTTTGTATTCTTCCTTTCTTGTTTTTTTATTTTGTTTTGTGACAGGGTCTGGCTGTGTAGTTCAGGCTGGCCTCAAACTCAAAATCCTGTCTCAGCCTCCTGAGTGCTAGGGTGACAGGTGTGAGCCACCAGGACAGGCATTATGATCTCTGATTAGGAAAAAAGATCTCAAGTTCCCAGGTAAACATCTGCCACACCCTTGTTGCAAGGCAGAAGTAGTCTTGACTCTGCCCTAATTCTGACCTTGTGTGGCTCCTTTCAAGGATTAAGCAAGGTGATTTCTTCCTTACTACAGTGTTCTGAGCATCAAAGCACAGAGCACCAGTGTTCTGAACCACAGAACAGGCCTCATTAAATCCTTCTTGCACAAATGAATGTAGGTGGCTGCATATTTGGCATAGTGCCTGGTAGACAGTAAGCACCCCAAAAAGGGTATTTCATTATTGACAGCTTTCTGTGAACTAAATGTATCATAAAGTTTAGTTCATATGCTCTGGTTAAGAATTTTAGCTATCTTTACCACCATTTTAGAGGACACTGGGACACAGGTGGTCCCACTGAGGTGGTCACAGGATGATGTGTCTGGCCAGTATCTCTTTGATTCAGTCGCCTCATGCTCAATCCTGTTGCTGAAAAGGAAAATACCCAAAGTTTATTTCATTGCTACTCTCCTGGAGAGTCCCAATTTACCGAAGGAGTTCCCGGAAATTGATCCAGCCTGGACGACTGGTGTCAGACACAAGAAGCTTGGTTTGGAGGGAGGGGCAGTCAGCACTGATGGCGTCCACTTTCGGAGCTAGGGCATCACTGGTGATGATGGACTTGGCCCTGGATGCCAGCAGCCGGTACTTGAGATCCTTCGATGTCAGCTGGGAGACACCTGGGATCATGACCACACCTTGAGCCACACGGAGAAGGGAGGTTGTTAGAGAGGAGGAAGATTCTAATGTAGAGGCCAGAGAAAAAAGTAGTTGAAGTGGGTTGGAACACCTGGGGGAACAACAATAGTAACAACAAAGTGGAAAAAGACATTTCCTATGGTAAGAACTTTGCCGACATTACTTCACTTATTTCTCACAATGCTCAGAAAAGCATGCCATTGTGGTAAACACTCCATGCACTTTAAAAAGAGTATGCGTCTTTAGACTTTCATGCCTTAACTAAATCAAATGACTTGCCCAAGAGTACATAGCCGACGTGTAATAAGGACAGAATTGCAGAGCTAAAGCAGCTGCAAACCTGTTCTGTCCTGCCTGTTCTGTCCTGCCTAGATTTATGTCAACTTGACGCAAGCTAGAGTCATCTGAAAGGGAATGTCAATTGAGAAAATGCCTCCATAAGATCCAACTGTAGGGCATTTTGTTAATTAGTGTTTGATGGGGAAGGGCCCAGCCCATTGTGGGTGGGGCCATCCCTGGGCTTGTGATCCTAGGTTCTATAAGAAAGCAGGATGAGCAAGTCATGATTAGCAAGCCAGAAAATAATACCCTTCCATGGTCTTTGCATCAGCTCCTGCTTTCAGGTTCCACCCCTGCTTGAGTTCCTGTCCTGACTTCCTTCAGTGCTAGACCACAATGTGGAAGTATAAGCTTAATAAACTCCCTCCTCCCCAAGTTGCTTTTGGTTATGGTGTTTCATCACAGCAATAGAAACCTGCCTAAGAAAGACAGAGTCCATAATCTTGAATATATTATATTGTATTGCCTTAGCAACTCCTTAGCTCAATTTTTTTCATTACTTTCAAACAAAATATTGCAATAAATCCTTTTGTTTTTGTGTGGATCACTTGCTGATAAAGGAAGTATTGCAGGCAAGGACTCCAGAATCCCAACATGGCTTCAATCAAAGCTGTTCGAAGGGTGGCATATTCCATACACCTCCAAGGGCAAGGAATAAGGACTGGCAGGGGGAACTTGACATTTGAAAGCCCTTGATATCTCAGAATGCAAATTATTAGTATTTTCTGTGGTGTTTAACACTCAATTTCACAGAGGAAAACATCTAGAGAGAACAAGAGGCAGAGGGAAAGATCAGTTCAGCACAACACCAGAGCCAAGCTCATGTTCTCACTACACTTTGCCCTGTCTCTGAAACTCTTGCACAATTTAGTGCCCAGTGTGAGCACTCTGAGTTGAATGTTGTTGTTCTTTAATACATGTGTGTGTTTGCATGAATATGTGTGTGTTCATGTGAGTGTGGGTGCTATGTATGTGTGGAGGAGGTAAGACGACAACCTCAGGTGTCTCTTCAATTGCCATCTACCTTGTTTTTGAGACAGGCTTTCTCACTGGCTTGGAACTTGTCAAGTGTGCCAAGTTGGATAGCTGTGGAGCCCCAGAGATCTACCTGTCTCTCCCTCCCCAAAGCTGATATTATAAATATATACCATCAGAATACTTGGCTTTTTTTCTTTTTAATATGGGTTCCGGGGATCACACTCAGATCTTTGTGAGGTATCCCCAGTCTGGATGTGCTTCTTCATTCCACTACTCTGTTTTCACATCCCATAGAAGTCCTTTGTTTGTATGGATTAGGGACTGAATTCAAGTTTGAAGCCTAGGAAGATGTGATTTAAAAGGAAATGGCCCCCAAAGAGAGAGGCATTATTAGGAGGTGTGGCTTTGTTGGAGTAGGTGTAGCCTTGTTGGAGGAAGTGTGTCACTGTAGAGGTGGGCTTTAAGGTCTCATATATGCTCAAGACCCAGTGTCTGAGTCTACTTCGTATTGTTTGCATATCAAGATGTAGCCAGCACCATGTCTGCCTGTACTCTGCCATGCTCCCCACCATGATGATAATAGACTGAATCTCTGAAAATGTAAGCAACCCCAATTGAATATTTTTCCTTTATAAGAGTTTCTGTGGTCATGGTGTCTCTTCACAACAATAGAAACACTAAAGAAGACAGAAGATGATTGACAGCCAGCACTGTCAATAAGAGAAAGTCAATCACTTTAACTTGACAAGTGCATATGAGGAAAATCTATGGATGTAGGGGTGCAATGACATCAGCTGTTGGAGTGGAGGCTCCACCTCAGCTCATAATGTGGAATGCAGTTGCAAGTTATTTTGAGTATGGATAAAAGCTGTAGGGTAGGCAAAAGTGAGATATTTGGTGACAAAAATAAATAATACTTTAAACAAAGTTTTGATCATTGAAAAATCTCTTAACACAGTGCCCAGCACATAATAGGTGCTTTAAAAAATTGCAAGGGTTCTTTACACTTCTGTCCTTACTAAGCAATTGACTCTTCATTATCATATCATTGTCTAGACTCTGCAAACAATCAGCTTTGTGACTGCTGGGCAAAGAAAAAGTGAACCCCAAATGGGGTTCTCTTTGTTCTGTCCTCCAAATCTTGTGGGACCTGCAGAGCTCTGGTGGTCAGGGTCAGTCCTACCAAAGACCCCTAGCCTTGCTCACTGACCTGTTCGAATACAAGCCACGCTGATCAGCCACCAATCTGGGAGGCGTGGAAGCACCAGCATCATTCTGTCTCCAGGTTGCAGGCCACACACACCCTCTAAGACATTGGCTGCCTTCCTGGACTGCTTCCCCAGCTCCTCAAAGGTCCACTTGACTTCTGCTCCTGAGCCATTCACCCACCAGAACGCAGGATTTGGGGGTCTGTGTCCTGCCTGGACAGTGGATATAGCCAGGGGGAAAAATAGAAGCCATTGTTGGGTGGTTTTGCTCATTTGTTTGTAAGAAAAAAAGAATATATATATATA